AGTGAGGGGAGGAGGTTGGGGTGAGGAAGTGGGAATGGGTAGAGAAACTAGTGTAATTTGAAAATACGGTGTCTGGAAAGGACCATGTTAGGGAATAGATACAGATTTCTGGAGGCAAATCCTCTAAAAGCGAAGAAGCCAAAAATGCCATTCAGCACTCTACTGCTATCAACGAGTACTGTTTTTTAAAGTATTGGTAAACTGTGGAATCCATTATTAGTGTTTAATTACATGTTCCACAGGATCATCTTCTCATTCTGAGTACATTACTAACCATGAGTCAGGGCTGTGTGATGAAGATTGCTTATACCACTTACTGAAAGAATTGGATCAGTGGGTGAAACTGATGATGAAAGTGTTCTTGCAGCTAAAGCAGATGAGTGCTGCCTGGGGACCTGTTTTCTGCCCTGTGACTGAATTTCTGGTTTAGGAAAATCATTTAGACCACAGCTATTGAAATCGGCCACTAATGATTTCTGCTCATCTCCTGGGTGTTTGAGCTGAAATCTGCAAGTTTTGGTTTGGAAAATGTGAGTACTTCTAGCTGGAAAGGAAGCCAGTGGGCACTTTGTTTTTGAAGATGTAAAGGACAATTTAGTAATCAAATATGCTGAAAAATTTAGTCTTGCAGCTTATCAAATTTGTGAATGCATCAGACTGAGTCACTGTGCTTCAGTTTCCCTCAGCAAAATAAAGTCAATATAGTCAGCTCATAGAAAGGTTGTAAAATTAAATGTGATATTTGTGTACTGTTCAGAAAGTGTTGCACCGAGCACCACAAAACAGTCTCGGACAGAAAGTAATAGGCTTTTATAATAGGTTTTATTTAGAGTAGTATAAATAAAGCAGAAGTTCACATTGTGAAGCATAAGAAAAAAATGCTTAATGTTAAATACTCAGTGAGGGATATTTGTTCTGGGCACTGAATAAGGGAAAGTAGTACCTGATCTATGGTTAAATACCTTGCCAAAACTAATAAGAGCTCTGAATTATAATGATTTATACAAGTATGGTTCATTCATTTCTGAAATTTTGGTGCTTAGATTCTGATGTATTAATATCTAAAGTTGTGGGGGTTTTGGGTATAATGTGTATGTCTTACTTACCTACATCCTTTTTTGAAATAGATTTTGATTTCTTCAGTGCTATCTTTATTTTGACTATAGCCTTTTGCTGCTATGAAGGCACTGCTGCACTTGGAAACTGGATGGATTTGCCGTATTCTTACTGTAGAGTCTTATTTTGAGATTCAGTAGAAAATACTGTTTTTCTAGGCCTAAGAAAAGAGAAACCTCTTAGTTTATCAAATTATTTTCAGTTTCATGTTTCTGTAATTGAGATTTGAATGTCCTAACAAAGGATTTCTAATGACAATTCTTTGAGTTTTTCTGGTCACTGTTCAAGGAAGGTGATCTCACAGTTAGCCTGGAATGCAGTGAAAAATAGATCGTCAGAACGTTTACATGGAAAACTGCTTCTTTTGTTCTGTCGCTTGTTTTTTAAACAGAACTGGTTTCTACTAATGAGGTAGAGGGGAATGGAATAGAAGAGGACAGGCTGATTTATGTAACTGTTACACAGCAAATGCTGCCAAAATAATTTTTGAAATTAATTGTTTAATACATACCTTAGTCTGTTTCTGTGGCTGATAGGTAAATATCAGCATATTTCATGATTCTTATGGTTGGCAGATCCTTTGGTGGAAGGAAGTTTTGCTCGGGACAGTTTCTGGTTTCACAGTCTGCTGGAAAAAAACAGCTGAAGTAATTTCTTTGCTGACATTAAGACGGAAGGACCTTTTGGCTTTCTTTCTCCCCTGTCCCTGCTATCCCCTTCACTTCCATCCATCAGCAAGGTGATGATCTTACTGAGTTACCTTTCCAGAGACAAATGGAGGATTATCTTCCATATTTATTATTTTGAGCATTTTCAAATAGCTTTCAATTAAGAGAAACTTCGGGCTTCTGCAGTAAATACAGTTTCTTCATTTTTGGAATCTTATCATGGCCTGTTCCTTGTTTCTAAAAAATTCTGCTTGTATTTCTGGAGTGCTCTTTTAACCTAATTTTAATGGCATCACTAGATGAAGAACAGTTTTGTCATAAGACATGGGCAAGAGATGCTGCCTTTCCATTCCTCAGAGAAAAGCTTTTATAGTATTTAGGAACTTAGAAGAGTCATGTACTTCCTCTGCAACTTATGTGATTTGGGTTTTGTCCGAAAGAGCTCTGTTTCCAGAAAAACAATATTGGGCAATAAAGTTATGCATCCATCAGAAAAACAAACCTCTGCCCTGCTTCAAGGAAAACAATACATAGCAATAAGCACTTAAACTTTCAAAAGAGAAGTTATTTAGTAGAAAATAGAATCTTAACATTAATTATTTACTGTTAAGACTTAGAATTTAGATGCCCTCTTTAAGCAGCCTAAACAAGGAGGACTATTTGAATGTGGTTCCAGACGTCTTCTCAAGGACAATCCAGCTTGCTCCCTGAAAAGCTGAAATTAATAATTTTTATCATGCTGGTTAGTTTAAGGCTCTTTCCATGATCCATGGGACTGCATTCATTCTTCAGCAACATGAAAAATGTGTATTTGCTACCCTCTGCATTCCTTGAAGCATCTGATTTAATCTGCAGCAAATACATAAGGCCTGGATTTGAAATTACTTGTTCTGTAAAAATGTATTTGAATTACTGCAAAAATTTTATAGTCGTTGTCGACAGAATATGAAGCTACCCCTCTCTTTTCTTTCTTCTTTTTTTTTCTGTTTTTTTTTTTTTGTTTGTTTGGTTTTTGTTTTAATACTACTTACCAAGTCTGTGTAAGACAGTGTAGTTTACTGTAGTTTACTTTTTTTACATATGTGTGCACAAAAAAGGTCAGGAATGCTTTATATAAAGGTGATGAGCTATTCTGTGGAATGACAAAACTGAACATCTTGCCTTGAATCGAAGGCAGACTGCATTGATGCACACAAGTTAGTGAAAAATTGCCTATTGTTGATTGTCCCTTTTAGCTGAGTACTGATGAGCATGCCATTTCTAAAGGTGCTGTAAGCAAAAAGACTTCAACAGCTTAAAATTTTCTCAGATTTTGTAGTTAGTCATTTCAGGTATATTGCCCAACACATTGGTAAGATGAACTGAGCTCTTAAATTCTGTGGTTTCACCTGAGGCACAGATAAGAGCAAAGTTTGGGGGTTTTCTTCCTTGGTGGGGTGGTTGGTTTGCTTTTTCCTGAGTATGCCTAAGATTGAAGTTCAGACACGATTTAATCTCCAAAATAGATGTACTTTCTCTAAGTACTGAACCAACTTGTATCATAATACAGTAGTTGGATAGTTCTTAACTGTGAGAATCATTAAAATTTTTGTCAAGTTGTATTTTTACCTGTTCTAGTAGTAACAGACAAGACTGCTGTCAGAGTTATTATTTAATGTGGAAATGATACTGAGTAGATTTCCCTTCTTTCCCTCTTGCCTTCACCAACCAAGTAAGGAGAGTCTTCCTGTTTTCAGAGGAAACAAGTCTTTTATGCCTTTCAAACAGCAGGAATATCCACTTAGTGTGCAAAATAGGACAATTTGCCTGATCCACAAAGGAGCAGATGAAGTATAAAAGCTATAAGGAATATTTAAGAATGTTATACAACCATATTACTGTTGTGTTAACTTCACAGAAGTTACTCTTTCCTAATGTTAATTTTCTTGATATTTTATCTCATTCATAAGCGTTGTGGTGGTAACTATTTGTGTGATTACTTACAGCATTCTAACGCAATCATTCTGTTTAGCCCCCCTCATGGAGAAGCAAAGCCTGGTTCAAGCACACTTCCACCTGTGAAATCAAAGACAAGCTTCATTGAAGCAGACAAATACTTCCTACCATTTGAACTGGCATGCCAGTCAAAGTGCCCCAGGATTGTCAGTACATCTCTAGATTGTTTACAGGTCTGTATGAAGATTAACTTTAACTGTCAACTATAAAATTCTGTTGTTTTGGAGGGGAAGTACAGTTGTATGTAACAGTGTCATTGGTTTTCTGTTATTTTACAACCAAGTTGAATATGTTTCTCACAAAGGGTGAATGTATGTCTTACTATGTAGCGCATTTGTATGTTTATTTGCGTATATATGTATTACCACAGTTACATGCTTGAATCATTTTATTGTATTAGTGTGAAGCTACGTATTTTCATGTGTTTATGTGTTGAACTAACACAGCAAGCATAGCATTATCAAATACATGCTACGTTGTTTACAATTGCAGAAAATATTTGCAGTTTGAGATGTCTAGCCTCTCAAATGTCAGAGGCTCTTGTAATGTTTTCAGAACAAATTCTGCAGCATGGAATTTAGCTATTTGCTTCTCCTGAGTAGCCCAACAGTGAACTCAATTAATGTATTTACATTCACAAGTACATGCAGGCCTGGCATGCTGTTGCACTATGATCCATTGCTACTCTGTATTTTTAAGTAGGTAGGTCATGGAGATTTACAAATACTCTCATTCCTGAAGTGTTTGGAAGCAGATTTTGTTAATTTTGTAATAAATTCAATTTCAAAGTATTGAAGACCTAGAGAAAGAAAGGAATAATAGAATATTTAACACCAGAAGACTAGCAAGTAGTTTAAGTGGAAAGCATTTGCCGCTGGGTTATCTGGTATTAAAAACATTTGTGTGCTGACTACGTATGAAGACTTGAGTGATGTGAGTTAGTTTTTGGAATTCTGCTTGTTTTAAAACATTGTTAACCGATGAACAAAAGCTTTAATGTTAAGCTTGCTGACAAACTTTATATTGCAGTTGTTGAGTGAAAATTGAATAAATCTGGAGGACATTTAAAAAAAAATCTTTGGTGTTTTATGAGACAGGGTAAAATGTACTGGTTTAATTATTTTGTGCAAGTTAGAGCTATCTAGGGAATTTATTTATTATAATGAAAAACTGATTTATTTTCTAAGCTCTTATTTATATGGTTTTTTTTCTTCCCTCCAGAAACTTATAGCATATGGGCACTTGACAGGGAATGCTCCAGACAGTACAACTCCAGGCAAAAAATTAATTGATAGAATTATTGAGACAATATGTGGCTGTTTCCAAGGCCCTCAAACAGACGAAGGGGTTCAGCTACAAATAATAAAGGTAATGATTAATACTTTCAGTATTTATAGTGGTGACAGCAGGAAGATGTTCATTATCTCAGAGTTCAGAAGCAGAATTGTTTAATTTGTAAATGTAATGGTAATTTTAAAATATTTTCTTGATCCTGTTTGAGATGAAAACTTGTCATCTTATGCTCCTTTCCCTATTCACTCTCATGGCATTTTGGGTGAATTTATGGTTGTGACCTGAAGCCTTGTGCACAGACCATGAGGTGAAATCTCATTCACAGCAGACCTGTGGTGCTAATTGTGAGGAATTGCTATGAAATAATCCTGCACTCCCAGTGGGGAGGATGGTCATTAAGCAGCAGATTTTGAAATCCATTTTGGAATTGTTCTGTGAAATGCAATTAGACCTGGCAGTCAGGCGTTTACCATAGTAGCTTTGTGCTGCTGTGGCATGGACCTTTGCTTGAAGGCGGTCTAGGGTTTCTTTCCGCAGCTTATATAAATGTGACGTGTGGAGTTTGTACAAGTAACTGGTTTTGAGGAATCTTGGCTGTTTTCTGATTGCACCCATTAATTATGGGTGTTCATTACAGGAAATTATGATGGCAACTAATAGAAGTTAGGCATCTACTGGAAATACTGTACTCCTGTAACAGTAGTCCTTGAATGGTTGTGATGATGAACAGTAGTGAGGAATATATTTAGTTACGAGAAATGGAGTGGAGTGTTTATTACCTCATTTTCTTGTGTATATGTATCCTGAGGTGTTGACATTTCTTACAGATTGTATTTACTAGTTTGACTGTGCAGAATGTAGTTTGTACTCCTTCTCTTAGCTCAGATCTTCCTTTTTCTTGACACTCCCAATTCTCCAGCAGAGAGTTGTTACAAATGTTGGTTTATGCTGCTGTTGTCTAGATCTGTTGTGTTGTTCTGCCCAAGCATTTAAGGCATTTTTCATATTGCAAAAGGAGCTTCTTGGAGATATTAAACTTCCAGTGGCTGAAACCATTATCTCTATCGCTCACTGTAATACCTTCTGTCTGAATGCATTCTTATTCTGGTCCTCCCCACACGAAGGGAGTTACCTGTGAGCTGGTATTCCTTCTGTCCAAGAAAATAGTTGAGAAAGTAAATTCTTCAACAATTGTAAAATGCATTAAGTGTGTAAGTTCATTTAGTGCCTTAACTTCCTGCCTTTTCACATTTACCTACTTGCCATGTTGATTTCCTGGGAGAGTGGAGAGTACTGTTTTGGTTTTAATTCCATGTGTGTCCTGTACACCGGACACTATAAAAAGCATGAAAATTAGAAATTATGTTAGCAAAACCTAGAACTTTTGACTTCCTTTTGGGGAGTAATGAAACTGCTAAGTGAGTCGTACTCTCTTCGGCGTCATGACTCTTCAGTTTTGGGCTGAGGGTGGACTGCAGTTCTCCGGTATGATTTGAAGGGTGGATCGTTGTCAGTCTTTTCAGTCAGTCTCCTCTGTAGTTCTTGTGATTAGTGTGTTCTCTGAAGAATTTTAATCCCCTGAGGGAGATAGAAGGCAGGGTCCTGGCTCTCCCACTTTCTGTGCTGGCACTCCGAGGCTATGAACAATGCTTTTGCAGGGCAGCTGCATCACCAACGCCACGGTAAAATCTGAGAACCTTGATGACTCAGACAACTTCTTTCCTGGAGGGGTATCTCTATTCTGCATGCTGAATGGACTGCCCTTACATATAAGCATGCTGCCCTCAGTCTGGTATCTGGCAGCCAGCACTGGGTCGAAGTTCGATAAAGTTGCTGTGTGATCATTACTAGATGGCTTTCCAGTGGTGGGGTCATCATAAGCAGGTTCCCAACAAAGAGCCACTTAGGTGTTCTGAAACTGCCTCTCTGCTGACTACCAAGGAAATGATCTTGATGAGACTGAGGAGTGTAAGTACTCTCTTTTCAGGTATCTAAGCTTAGAGGTGTATTTGGCGGTGGTTCTGATGGTTGGTGGCCAGTTTAACTCTTCTGCCCCTATTTCTACTTGCATGTTCTCATCTCTGTAATCCCCTCATTTTCTATCTGCAGACTCTACAGCAAACCAGATTTTGGCCTTTTCTTTCCTTCCTCTTGTAGTTTAGTTTGTTTGGTGTTACTTTGATGGGAAGCCATGCAAATTCTTGTTCAGTTGTTATGGTGGGGATTGCTGCAGCAGGAAAAAAAAAGTAACAAGGCTACTCTTGCCACTAAAATTGTTTATTTAAATTGTGTTTGAAATGATTGAACCTTTTTGCCTTGGCTTCCTCTGCTAGGGCTACTATGGCATTTGGAGGGGGAGGGGGTGTGTGTGCAAACTTGTATTGACATCTTGCAAAGGTTCTAGTTGAAGTTTCTGTCTGGCCTTTTTGTTCTGAAGACTTACAATTATGACAAAAAAATACATTCATTTTTTTTATAAGTATGTGAAGCAAGAATAGGGATGGGGAGAAAGGATGGAACACGAGATCAAGATCTGCTGTCCTTGGTCTGCTGTATAGTAAATGTTTGTTATCATCTAGATACTTTTACAGCTTTACTTGCTCACGTTTGGCTAAGAAAAATTTTTGTGTGTGCTTGATAGCTATAGTCTGAAAAGTTGAATGTTATTTTAGTGATTGCTTTCTGAGTCTACCCTGTGCAATAGACTGTTCATAAGGTCAACTCCTGTATGTGTCTTCTTGCAACTAGTCATGCTGTCAATATGACCAGTGTCCCTGCAGAAATGAAAGTTGAATCATTGAAATGATGAATGAAAGCTGAACATTGCTTGCACAAGTCACCTTTTGAAACTAACTAAAAATAGAGGGCAACTGGTTGAATTACAGAATGGGAAGACTGTAAAAGCTAACTAATTCTGAGGAGTAAGAATGATGGTAAGGTTGAAACAATATAACGAAACTGGTGTGAAAACAGAGTCGAAATTGAGAAAACTCTTAGAAAAAACTAAGATACTTAACCTGAAAATGCTGTCCTGTCAGTTTGCAATTTTATTTTTTAGGAAGGATTGTGTTTTTGGAGTTGGACATGAAGCACTTCTGTTCTGCAAAATATGTATCAGTTTAATTCCGTATTAGATTCTTGTTCATTTTGAATACGTAACTTTCTGGTGAAAAAAAATAAAAACTTTGTGTTCTTACATAATTTCTGTTCTTTATATTATCTTCCATAGGAGAAACTAGAACATAGTTCTATTCTTTCTGAAGTGTCCACAGTCATAATCCTTCAGTGTGTTTCAGGGCTGGTAACTGACCACATGCTTGTGAATATCGATTTTTTTATTTTATTTTTTTTTCCTCTAAATTGATGTTAAGTAGGAAAAAAATAATCAAATACTGAGTGTTAATTAATGATCCATTGTCAGTGAAGTCTGGTGTAGAATCTAGGATATGACACTGTTGACAGAAATCACTGTCTTGACTGAAAGCTTGCTGGAAGCAAACACTGTATTTTTCTATTTTTCATACCCTAACAGTGTATTTCCATAGGTTTTCAAAGTTGGTAAACTAAGTTAGATAAACATAAGTCTTTTAGAGCTATGGTAAATGTGTAACATAAGTGACAACAATTTGGAAATGGTAAAAAGCAGGAGATGATATCACTGCTTGCTCACAAAGAACGATGTTACTGCATTCTGTATGATTTTTTAGTGTCACTCGTACTGAAAAAGGATATATCTGGAAGCTTATTTGATATATTTATTGCTTTGTGACTTAAGGACTTAAGTCTCCTACGATTTTCTGAAAGTGAGTCCATAGTGACACACTATTTTGTGGTAAGTGAATGTTTGGACTTCAAGTTGACTTAAAGAAAATATTACTAAAAATAACCTTATGGCCCTTCTCAAAGTAAATGGAATTACATGGTTCTGGTAGCTAATAAAGTAGAGAGAGGGGTTAGGGACACTCTTTTATGTGCGCTCTCAAGAACTTGAAAGTTCCCAGGCAACTGAATTATGAGTATTTCACACAAAGTAAGCCGGGTGCTAATCTGACAGCTGTACTGTGTCATAAATCTTCCAAAGATGAATGGAGTTGGCTGAGAGGAAGAGAACAATGACCCTAAGTTGAAAACTAGGCTTACTAGCAAGTCTGTATGTAGCTGCACCTGACTCTTGTGCATTCTTTAATTGTTCTCCTCATTGTAGTTCCTTCCTTTCACCATAACCAATCTGTTCTTGCAGAATATTCAGTGTGAGAGGAATGAAAAGTACAGGTAAGAGAGATGTTTTTAGTAGAGGATTAACATCAGTTTAGTTTGCCTTCTTAAATGACATTCATTTTGCCTCACAAATCACGATATTTCCTGTGCTGTTCTAATGCACTCATTTTACATAATAGGAAATTCACTAAGGAGGCAAATACACTTTAGACTAAAAGTAAAAATACTATGGGTGTCACACAAAGATACAATCTGTAACTCAAGAAATGATCCTGAGTATTTTTCTCTTTTCCCAAATCCATCTGATGGTTGTTTATAAAAATGAATAAGCTTTATATATAGTAACTAGGTAGAAGCACAGAACAATAGGGTCTTTTTCAAATATAGAACAATAGGTGTGAAGAACTGGAAGGAAAGCATAAGGAAACAAAGTCAGGATGATAGCCAGTAGTTTCAGAACAAAGAAAGCTTGATGGCTGTTGGTATTTTTGCAGGCTTTGTGGCTAAGAAAGCTCTTGTGGAAGGACCTGAAATATAACGAGGTAGCGCTAATGTTTTCACAAAGGTTTCGTTCAGTGCCTAAAGAACAGCAAAGGGGAAGAGTACAATAGAGTAGGTTTTTTTGGTTTTTTGTTTTTTAATCCTCTCGCCTTAGCTCACACTGAAGATACTGGATGAAAACAGATGAGCTAAGTGCAACCAGAAGAAGTGGAAACTCAGCTGTAAAAAGCCTTGAGCAGCAAATCTATAGTGGTAGAAAAGAGCAACCTAATGCTCTGACTCCATAGTCAGTAAAGCCACTGCAGTAGCTTGCTGTTCTGACCTCTGCAGGCAGGCATTGTTCTGTCCAGGCTTTGCTCCTAAGTATCCTTCTCCACCCCTTGTCCTGGAATGCATTTAATAATCTGGATCAACTGAAATAATTTAAAACCAGAGTGGAGTAGAGAGGCATAATCGCCTCCCTCGACCTGCTGGTCACACTTCTTTTGATGTAGCCAGGATATGGTTGGCTTTCTGGGCTGCAAGTTTCTGGGTTTTTTTTTGTTGGCTCATGTTCAGTTTTTCATCTGCCAGGATCCCCAAGTCCTTCTTGGCAGGGCTGCTCTCAATCAATTCACCCCCCAGCCTGTATTGATACTGGGGGTTGTCCTGACCCAAGTGTAGGACCTTGCACTTGGTCTTGTTGAACCTCATGATGTTCACATGGGCCCACTCCTTGAGCTTGTTCAGGTCTCTCTGGGTGGCATCCCATCCCTCAGGCATGTCACTGCACCACTCAGGTTGGTGGTGTCTGCAGATTTGCTGAGGATGCACTCAATCCCACTGACAGTGTCACTGAGGAAGGTATTAAATAGTTCTGGTCCCAGTATGGACCCCTGAGGGACACCATTTGTCACTATCTCTATCCAGATAAGGCACCAGAACTTTGGTACGGCTTTTGTATGTCCTGCTCCCTGAATGATGTTTATATTAGCAGAAGCAGGGTATTGATAAGTGCTGTGGTGGTGTTGAATCATTGCACAGAGAGGGTGAGAATTAAGGATGGTGGTATAAATTTCAATTTACCACTTCCTTTTTAGAAGGCTGATGACACGCCAGCTGAATTTTGTATGGACAAAAAAGAACAGTACCAGTGCTCAGAGACTTAATTCCTTTAACAGAGCCATCATCTACAGTTTACCTACCTCTGATTTCTTTTCAGTGGTTGGTTGTTCTTTTAAATGTTTTTTTCTTTTTATTTTTCATTAAAAAAATACTTGTAGTGGGTATTTAGGCAGTACTACTTCGTAGATTATAGCATGAGATGCTGTTTAGTGGTCATACAGAAGATAAGAATGTATACTCTCCAGAAAGAAATATTAAGTACAGTCATCCATATATGTACCTCCCAGTGTCCACTGATGGGAGAACTGAGTCACCATGGGTAGAATAAGAAGGAACCGTAAGGAGACTGCTTATCTAGGAGTAAAATTCAGATCTCTTCAACAGTAGCTCAGTTTGAGGGTTGGGGGTTTTTTCCTATTAAGCTGTACAGTGCTTTCCAAAGGGATTGAGTGAGCAATGGATACTCCTTGTCCGCTTGCCGATGCCATGGGTGGACAGAGGTGCTCACAATGTCAGTTAGTGAAATGAGGCTTGGTTTGATGAGTGGATTACAAAACACTTGTAGTGTAACTTTTGGGTTTAACTGATAAACTTACAGAAGTATGAGCTTTCTAGTGCTTCTAGATCTTTCTTACTTATCCTAAACAATCCCTTAAATTATTACCTCTGTCAGAGTCTTTAATACATAAAATTCCCAGATTTCTTCTACTGGAGTACAGTGATAAGTATAAAGCTTGGTCTACTGTGGACCAGGCTTTACCCCTTTCCTTCCACTTTCCGCCACATATCTCTGACAATGTTCTCACACCCTGTCCTCATCTTTCATCTGCCTCTGTTTCTGCTCTTTAATCTACCTGGTGTCTACGCTACACAATACTTCTGGGTTACTTGATCTTTTAGAGGCTTATTTGCATATTTTTTTTTAAAGAGAGAAGCAGATACTACCGCAAATGGAAAGAAGGAAGTGAAGTCTATAGAGGGCACTTCCAATATTCTGGCATCTACCCAGAAAGTGTTTTTTAAAAGGGTAGTTATCCCACTTAGAACTGCCTAGTCTCACACTCGGTCTTCATTGTGCGCATTTACATTTATTTGTAAAACAGCTTTTGGACCCTTTGGATTGCTTTCCAAATTTTAACAGGTAGTCTGTTGTTCAGGTTTTGTGTCTAGAAAATTCTAGGATGACTTTTATTAACTACCCGTCTGATTACTCCATTGTTTACTTCTTGCTGTTACATGCTATGAAACATGTATTTCCTAGATATGTTGATTAAAAGCACTTTCATATAACTGGTATGTATGATCTGATATGGCTATAAGAGTACATGGAAAAACTTAATTGAACTACAGTTCAATTTTTATATTCATTTATAAACTATTTGATTTATGAGAAAAGTTTTTACTGGAAAATATATGTGTTTGTGTTTATTTAGGCTTTGCTCACTGCAGTAACATCTCAACACATAGAAATCCACGAAGGAACAGTGCTACAGGCTGTAAGGACATGTTACAATATCTATCTAGCAAGCAAAAATCTTATAAATCAAACCACAGCCAAGGCCACTCTAACACAAATGCTGAATGTCATTTTTGCACGTATGGAAAATCAAGCAGTGAGTATCTCAGTATCTTTATATAGAAACTAGCTCTTAAAAGCAAAACAGCTTGAGAGATTTGTTTTGTCATGATTATTAAAGCTTTTTGGCTTTTGTAACTTCTCTACTTGCGAGGGGGAAGAATCTGGTATGTGTTTTTGGGGCAGGGGAGTGACGTATAGGATTTTTCAACATTTTAATGCATTGTAGTCACTAACAGAGACTTAATCTCGCTGAAATTTCTGTTGTCAATACAGGGACCAATATATGCCCCCAATATGTGCCCTGTGCCTTCTACTGCTGATAATAAAGATCAGTAAGGCAAAGTGATTATCTTAACTCCTATTAAAAAAAACCAAAACAAAACAAAAACAAACAAACAAACCCAAAACAAAACCCAAACAAACAAATAAGCAGATGCGTGGATTTGAGATCTGGTTGAATTCCTAGCTACTTCTAGAAGTAATCCTGCTGTATTATTACAAATTCTAAAATATCTCTTAATAGTATGTCTTTCTTACTTAACTTCCTGTCAGAAGCAACTGCATATTGATACATGGTACCATCACAGTTAAAGATTTATGAGATGCCATATTTATGATAAGTCATGACAAAAGCCATGAGGTACCTGAATGCTTTGAGAAATCTGTGCAGTTACTGTTCTTTTAAGCAACTTAATACAGAAGAGTATTATTATTATATGGAAGTCTTAATTTTTGCCAGTCTGTGTCTAGTCTTTGTGCAAGTTGGTAAGCTGTTCTGCTTGCTTTGCACACTCAGGGCAGTTATTTTAATACGATAGCTAACAAAATGTTAGAAGGAATTATTTGAGCTGTAGTTTGAAAAGTAGTATCCACTTGGAGATCTGTAGAGCCCCAAAAGAACCGCAAAACTAAAACAGTCTTTGTCTTACAGTCTTAAGTATAATGATTTCTTTGAGGATCTGTCTTCTGTAGTGTTTTGGAACTGTGGCTCTCTTCAGTTTTAACTCCTGTTTTTGTTGTGCTTTTCCCCTGGATGTTTAGTGCTCAGATATTAAAATTATTTATAATACAAAGGATGCATTTTCTTAAACTGTTACAACTTTATGAACGCACTATGTAAGCAGAGAAAATGAAGATTTCATGTTTATAAAATAATGCATACACTATGTATACAGCTCCCTGTTTTGTTTCAGTGGTGAAATTCTTGTGTGATTGCAATGTTTTTGTAGCTTCAGGAAGCAAAACAGATGGAGAAGGAAAGACACAGACAGCAACACCATCTACAGCAGTCTCCAGTAAGCCATCATGAGCCTGAGTCACCTCAGCTGAGACATATTCCAACACAGACTGATCAGCTGTCCAAAGAACATGAGAGAGAGCTTGACCACAGCACAAATGATGTAGACAAGAACCTTCAAGAAGATGCAGAGGCAGAAAATGGATCGGATATTTCTAGTGCTGAAAATGAACAGACAGAAGCTGACCAAGCCACAGCAGCAGAAAGTAATCAGTGTGTATTTCTCTTTCATGGAGGGGAGGGAAAAGGTCTGTAAGAAGAAAGGCTTGAGGATTGTCTTTTTTTTTTCCCCTCTCCCATATTTGGAGACAGGCATATATTTTGACTAATGTAAAATGCCTGTTGTCCTTGTTACCACTGTTAAACTTTATCATGAGTGCCCTTTAGTCCTACACTCTGTGGTAGTCACTGTAGCAGTGCACTCTTTGCGCTTGTGTAATGCTGTAAAAGTTTTTGAGAATAGCATCTCAAAATCATCAAGTTTTCAGTGTTTAATGTACGTGAAAATACAAAATTGATATCTTTAATTGGCATAGGCCTGTGGATTAATTACCCTTTACAAGTTAAACACTTGAATGATTGATTATCTTCTGGAAATACTATTTTGAAAGCATCCAAACACTTTTTTTAATGTACTCTCTCCTATTAATATATCTGTAATTTAATTTCTAAATATGAAATGCAAGTTAAATATCTCAGTTCCTCAGTTTCTCATTAATTTGTTTTGGTTTGTTTTTCTTTTTAAAGATCTTTCTAAATCTGATGGAGGAACATATGATGGTGAAAGCAATGAGTGTGAAGAGAAGGCACAAGAAATTGTAGAAAGTATTGTGCAGGAAATGGTGAACATAGTAGTTGGAGGTATTATATTAACATTTCTCTAGTCAGTAGTGTCTGCAGTCTGAATCTTGACATTAAGAATTATAGTAACACTTTCGAATATGTAATTTAAATATGTCATTATTGAACTAACACATACTGAAGGAAACAGTTTCAGTTGTCTTTATTTGACTTTTTTGCAAATTTAGCTGTGCATTATTTAACAGTGAAATGGACAAAATTTCATGCATTAATGTACACTCTGTATTAGAGACTAATGTTCTTTTTCAAATACAAGTTCTTGTTCCCTATTTTTTTTTCCCTGTTTTGTTTCCACATAAACTCTTCACAAGTGGCCTGTCTGTAGTAGCAGGGTTGCTCTACATTTTTCAGTTCGTTGAAAAGTATTTATCAAATCAGTGGCTTTCTTCCCCCACTTCCCCCAATACTTCTTGGAAACTTGGTAGAATGGTGAACCTAGCCATGTCAAATCATGTCATTTTTTAAATTATTATTTTCATTAATGGGAATTAAAGAGCATTTGGAATTATTTTAGCTATATAGTGACATGTTAATTCCGCCTTAAGTTCCTCCTATGATAGTTATGATTGATATAGTATTTAAATATTAGATTTAAAACCTCTTTTTTAATTTGCAATCTTACGTAACGTTTCTTCATAATTTTTACCTCTTTTCTAATAGACGTGGAAGGGACTGCTGAAAGTGCAGGTGGTGATGGCACAATTGTAACATCAGAGGATGGCAGTGACAGTGAAAACATTCAGGCAAATGGAATTCCAGGGACTCCAATTTCTGTTGCTTATACACCATCTTTACCTGATGACAGATTATCTGTCTCTTCCAACGACACTCAGGTACAGACAGTCGTAAACTAGGAAATACTGAAAAAAGTAGTATGTGTTATGTGTTGCCCCATAGAGTTCCAGAATTAGAGAACTCAGTTCCCTGTTTTTTTAAGTTCTTCTAAGAAACTGTAGAACTAACATTCAGTATACATAGTGAAGAATATAGCCAATTATAGATGTGATTGTATAACTTCAGTGTGCTCTTTTCAAATGATAAATAGAAATTTCAAGCCTGTAGCATGGCCTTACTGCAGCAATTTCAGGTAAAAAGTTTCATGTCTGAGAGGATTTTATTTTCATTAACAAAAGAGATGTGAAAATATCCTGTCTCTGTTGTATCTGATACCAGCATGTGTGCACTATCAACTGACAGGGTACCTGCTGCCAAAGTGTACTGAGTAATTAGGTTTGGAAATATTAGATCTTAAGCTTAAAAAGCTACAGTCACATACGCCACACAAATAGATCAGCATTAAACGTGTTGCTTATATAAGGAACAGAATTGCAAAAACTTAGTAATAAGGGTGATTACTGTACTATAGAAATTTTACCAAATGTATCTTGTCACAGATATGTAACTACTTGCGTTCTATTACAATGTCATGTTTGACTTTTTTAAAACTAGTTATACACTGAAAATGTATGAAGGGAATTCACAGCAAGAACCGTTACTTAGTCTTGACCTGCCTATTTTCATTACAGTCTTTAATTCTGACTTTTAACTTAGATGGCAATTTGTATCAGCAAGTTTATTTTAACTGGCCCACAGAATATTTTCTTTTGTTTTAGTTTAGCCTTAAGACCATAAAGCTACAGTGAATTGGTTATATTTGTATAATATGTTAACTTCTTGTTGCTAGGAGGTGGGGGGTTATCTACACACCCCT